ATCTGATTATATTTTGGGGTTGTGGGGTATCAGTCACCAAGATCTGTTCTAGATGCTGAGGATCAGTTTCTGCTTCAACTATTCTAGCTGCTGTACCTATGGAGGGATTTGGGGAGATTAAAATATGATACAGATATCTGTGGTATCCTTTTTGCTTTAGTATATTTCTGGTAGTTAATATCTTCATTATTTAGGGATACTAAATTTGAAACAGTAGTTTATGAAGTTGCAGAGAATGAGGATTGAAAAGACGCACCTTAGAGCCATCCCCCCGACCCCCATACACTGGGAAACAAACCAGGGTCTTATGGACTGTAAATGTTAGTCTGTCCCCTGCAAGCCTGATGTGGTTATGAGGCATGGGCTTTCCAGAGGCAGCTGACTCCAGCTCGTCGTCTAGTGCCAGGAGTGGGGGTGTGAGCGTACACCTGCCCTGGGGCAGGTAGCTGCACACAGTGAAGGGAGGAAAAGGTGTGCTCCTCCCTTTTTGGCCCTGGCTGACTGCTGCCTTCCACCACCATGAGCACTGCCCCTCTGCCACGGAGCCAACTGATTATAGACGCCTGCAAATTATGAGCTAAATAAACATTTTCCCCTCTAACTCTGGGTATTTGGTATTTTGTCTCAATAATGACAGAAAGGTAGTGAAGACAGTAAGCAAGCTTTCCTACCACTGAACTACATCCCCAGCCCAGATCTCATGTTTTCAAATCCTACTTTGACCTTGTAACAGTTGTATGATTCATGTTTCTTAGTTTCCATTGTAAGACAGGCTTTTGTGAACACTAAATGAACACATGTAGGGGCTGGTGAGATGGCTCAGTGGTCTAAAGCACCTACTTAGAATAAGCTTAGCAGAGCCCAGGGACCGCGGTTCAATCCTCCAGCACCACATGCCAGCCAGCCCCGCCCCTTGGTGGGCTGAGCTGGCCACACACACACACACACACACACACAAATAAATAAAATTAAAAAAAAATAAATGAACACATGTAAAATACAGAGAAAAGTATTAGGTTACTTAGTGTGTTCTCAAAGATATCTGCTACCTCAATGTAGTTTTCTTTTTCAGGTCTAAGTCTGTATGGACTTAAAAACAATATTAACTCATTCTATGAAAAGCCTGAGATCACAAAAAAAAATGACTAAAAATTAAAGAACCCCCCCAAACCCCACATTGGTAGCTAGCTGTGGCAATGCATGCCTGTAATTCCAGCACCAGTAGGCTAAGGCAGGAGGATCTCTGTGCGTTTGAGGCCAGCGTGGGCTACCTATGTGTTCAGGCCCAGCCTAAACTATACACTGAACAAAACCAAACTCATAAAAAACAAACAAACAAACAAACAAACCCTCAAATTTACAGCCAAAGCTGATTTCATAGGTAAGTTCATCGTCCTCAGCACATTAATTCCAAAAGAATGAAAAATATATTCACTAAGCAGCCATTACTATAGCTTGTGTTCTGTTTTTGAAAATAGAAATCAATGTAATAGGAGAAAAGGCAGAATAATGGAAACACTGTGGACCACAGAGATACTTATGTGAGGACTAGAAATAATGACACATCTAAGGCCTAAAGTGGAAGGTGTATTTAGCCTTCAACTCCACATCTTCTAGGTTAAATATGCTAGAACAGATCTTCCAAATTGATATCCTAAGGATAGGTGGTTGGGTGAGGCCAGCCTCAACTACATAGTGAACCCCATTTCAAAAAGACAAAACAAAATAAAACAACCAACCAAACTCAGTAGACTATATATTATATATAGAATTATTTATTTAATGATAATGATATTATTATTTTTAGTCCACAAAATGTGAAAAGACAAAAAAGTGTACTAAACAAATTAAGAATACTTTTTATAACTCTAAACAAATACCTTTGAAACAAATGAAATCAATGAAATCAATCCTCTTCGTAGAAAAATTACAAATTAAGAAAACTGCTGGAGAAAGGTGCAGAAAAATATTCCTCAAAAATACAAAAGATCGGGCCTGCCGTGCTGGCCCCGCTCTCAGGGCACACTGAGACGGCAATTGAGACTGGGCGTGG